AAGCAGTGGTGGAGTTTTCTTCCCGGTACCTTTAAGGGGGGAAAATTGTGTAGAAGAAAATTTTTCTACATTTTTTTGCTTTAATAATTAATTTACAAGTGGTAGAATATGATTCTACTTTACTAATCTATAATTCGAAATATAAATGTATCTATAGTATACAAGTGTAGTACTGCGAATGCTACTAAATGTAGTTAACAATGGCCAGGGTGGCCACTATTTTTAGAATTTTTTCCTCCCGGTTTTCTCCCGGTTCTCCCGGTAGAAATTAGAGATTTCTCCCGGTTTTAAAATACATTTTTTCTGTACATTGAAATAAAATATATAACAAATTTTATTAAGTATAGTAGACATTTTAGTAAACATTTTTCAATTTAGGGAAAACGTGTAAAAATAGGAAATATTGATACAAAAAATAATATACTTCTGAAAATATTTTTCAGTCTTTAAGAAATGTATTTCAAATTTTAGTAAATATTTACGAACTTCAACATAATTTATAGTAATTATACAAAATCTTTACTGAGATTTAATATATTTTATATCATTTTTTTCCAGTTTGACACGTTTTCCCTAAATTGAAAAGTATTTACGAAATTTTGTTATATATTTTCTTTTAGTGCAGAATTAAAAAATGTTGTATTGTGAGAAATAAAAATAGTTAATTTTTGTTGATGATATATGAGCAATTCCACCTGAGATTGAGGGGTCTATCCTCCGATTCCTTCTATACTACGTTTTTGGGTAGAGGTTATGGGTCTAATTGAGTAAAAAAAATTTTGAAAAAAATATTTATTATTTTTCGAGATATTTGCATTAAAAAATTAGTGGAACTTTTTTTTCAATTACTCATAACTTTTTCACTTTTAGTCCTAGAAAAAAATTTCCTAAACGTTTTTTGCTCAGAAAATATTGAAGTTTAAGAGAAAAAAAATAATTTTGAAAAATTAAAATTTTTTAATTTATTTATTTATTTAAAAAATAAAATTTGTTTTTAATTTTTAAAATTATTATAGGGCTCCGTTTACTTAGCGGAGGTTTCATACCTTCTCGGCACGGTATTTTTCAGTCTTTCTCTAAATAACATTTTATAATTAATTTTCGATTTTTAGTAATACTTAATATTCTTTTTTTGACTCAGAATTAGATTACACGTAGTATAGATGGAATCGGAGGATAGACCCTTCAATCTCACGTGGAATTGCTCATATATTTTACATAATTAATTTTTCAGTCCCGGCTTTCTCCCGGTTTTCTCCCGATTCAAATTTCTCCCGGTTCTCCCGGTTGGCTGGCCACCCTGAATGCGCGCAAGATAACTCTATTCTTTCGTCTTTTTGTCAATATAATTTTATCAATTGTCAGCAACAAGTATTATTAGCAAGTGATAGTAAATCTTGCTGTTAGTGCAATATTTATTTTTTTTATACATAATATCTTCAAGAAAATAGTTAAAACACTACTTTTTTGTATCGAAACCCACGTGAAAAGATTACCGGTAAACTCCGCGAAGTAGCTCCGCGGAATTTCCGCAGAGCAGCTCCGCGGATTTTCCGCGAAATTTCCGCAAATTTTTTTTTTGCATAATAATATATTTATGTTAATATTTAAAATAATATAAAATTAAATTGTGTATATTCTACTTAAAATTACTTTTTAATTTTTAGTTAACAAGTGACAGAAGACTTTGACACTAATTTTGTTAACAAAAAATTGAAAACTATAAAAATAGGTTCACGGTTATAGCCGGTAAAGATGTATGTATTTTTCTTTTCTACTTAAAAAAGTAATCTCAAAATTGATATCAGATTATTGCATTAAAGAGAGTTAAATATATAATAGATTAAATAGTTTTTTACTTGTATTTATCCTTTTTATAAGACAATAATAAAATTCATTTCATATAAAAATTTTATTAATAAAAAAATAAAAATGCATTTGCCATATGATACTGATTTCTATTTATTTAATAAAATTTATTTCACTCATTATATATTTTAATTTTTAGTAGGGTTAAATTAGGTTACAATTAAAACTTTCAGAAAATAACTTTATAATCTAAATACAGGTTATAAGCTCTTAAAAAGGTTTGGAAAAAGAAATGATTTCCCGGTCGTTACCGTTACTTATTGATGGCTTCGTAATATGAAAATTTTATACGACATGTTTAACTTCCCCAAAAAATTGTATTCTTGCTGCTGCCTAGTTCTTGAGTGACATCGATTTGTTATTCTTCTAATGCTTCGTATTTTCATCATGTCTTGAAATGTTAAAATCCTTAAAAAATCCTTACTGATTGTAACCACGAAACTATCCTAAAGATTATCAATATTTTTTTTCAAAAAATTGACGTGTCTAACAGTAAATCTTGTCTCAGTTGTTAACTAAAGTATAAAACGTAATTTAAATAGAATGTATTGAATTTAATATTATATTACTTTAAATAATAACATAAATATATTATTATGCAAAAAAAAAAATTTGCGGAAATTTCGCGGAAAATCCGCGGAGCTGCTCTGCGGAAATTCCGCGGAGCTACTTCGCGGAGTTTACCGGTAATCTTTTCACGTGGGAAACTTCAAACGCCTGTAACGCCGAAATTTGTAATATTTTTAATTTAAAAAATTATTATATATAGCTTATATTATACACTTTAAGGTATCCTTTATTTCAATTCAATAAACTTTACCACTTTTCTGTAAAAAAAATCTTGAATAACGTGGATTTACACAAATTTCTCTCAAGGGGTTACACTTTGAAATTTAAAAAGAATCAAAAAAATTTTTTTCTCTTAAAGTACACCTTATAGGCATATAAATGATATGCTATATGGACCCGGCGTAACTAATTAGAGGTAATTTTTAATTTAATCATTGTTAATTAGAACCAAACTGTTAAGAAAACTTTAAACGCGTTTTTCTCAAAACTACATTTGAAAAATCGGTGGGCACTCTAGCTGCCACAAATTTCAATCGATCCTCTTAGTTTTTTTAATTTTGTTTGTGATATAATTATCTAGCGAATTACGCACGGATATTTTGAAATATTAATATTTAAATTTTCTAGACAACTTTAAGTAACAAAATTTTGGCAAAAATAAGCACTTTTTCCATCAAATCAATGCCATTTTGCGAAAAATGCATTTTTCTTAAAACGGATACGTATTTCGCTAGATTTTGAGCTGCAGAAACTAATGCTTTTTTTATTTTGATCTAGCTCAATTCTGGACCGAGGTATAGTGCCCACCGCATGGCGATACATTTTTGAAGCACTTCGCCATATCATCTGTCAGACCGACATTTTTGAAAAAAAAATAAATAACATTTTTTTTTTGCAGTTCAAGAGTAGTATAATACCCTACTGTATTTTAATTTTCTTAAAAAAATTTCTATTCTTCAATAAAAATTGTTGAAAAAGCGTATTTTTTGGTCGGGTCAAAGTGGTTTAACCCCTTAATGTAAAAATGTTTAGTTAAGAAAATAAAAAATACTGAAAAATTGTAACAAATATACATGGAGAAAAATGGAAAAACGAATAAAGTAACTTTTACTACTTTAAATGTAAAACCGGAACTATCCGCAGTTTCTGCGCATTTCTGACAATTTTTACTCCAGAAATAGTAAAATTTACTATGTCCCGAATAATTTTTACTATTTCAAGAGTAAATTGTACTATTTCTGGAGTAAAAACCCCGTAAGAAGCGAATAATTGAAAAGAAATCAGAGTTCCAATTTTTTTTAATGGGAGAATTTACGTTTTTATTCAATTCCTCGATAAAGCAAAAAAAGTAGAAAAATCTATTCTTCTTAATTGACTTGGCCAAAATTTATACTCTGAATTATACATATAACCTGACACAGTTAATTGTAAAACATAGAAATGCCTCATTTATTCTCCACATTTTCTATTCTTCTAAATGCGCTCCAAATGGCCTGATATATAGTCAATTTATAGAAATAACCACATGTACATCAGTTTTCAAATTTCTTATTCTTTTCAATACGCTTTAGAAATTTTAAAGCTGGCGATTGAAAGGAATAGACATTTAAAATTTACTCTCCAAACATTTAATTTTTTTCTATTCGCTGCCAGTAAGTTTGAAAATAAAGAACTTTGCGCAATAAGAAAAATAGGAAGTTTGAATTCTTTTCTATTGACTTATGTGTACTGGAAATAGAAAAGAATTCATTTTTAGCCGTATAACCATTACATCCTCGTCGGTGGCTCTGATTTAGGTTAAAAGTGAGGTTTTTAAAATTAAAAATTTAGTATTTTATGACATGTGATACATAATAATAATAATAATTGTTTTCGTTTTCAAGAAATATGTTATTGATTAAAATTCAGGTTAGTTTTTATTTATAGGTACTGCAAAATTTTTTCAAAAAAGATTTCTTTACGGGGATTTTAATATTTTTTATTATTTTAGTTAATTAATTATAACATTATAAAATAACTTTTTTTGTATGAAATTAATTATTAGAAATTGGAGATTTAAGATGTAATAACAACATTAAAAAATTAATTTTAAAAAAACCATTAAACTTTTTAAATATTAATTGTTTTGCAAATTGTTATTTATTATCAAATTGTAAGTATATATTTTGCTTAGTATTAAAAATATTTAATTTAAAAGTTTTAACTAAAATGGATTAATTTTCAATTACCTGGTACATTATTTTTTAAAACAATCTAGGTAATTTACACTTTGATAAGTTTAAAGACAGTTTTTTAATTATGAATCTTTAAAAACTTGCAAATTTTTCCTACTGCACTTATTAAATGATAAAAATTAAATTTATTTATGAATAAAATTAAAAAATTCATAAATAAAAGCATATTTTAATAAATATGTTATTATATTATATATTATTATTTCACCAAAACTGAAACATAACCTTATATGGATTAATATGTTGTTTCATTTTTAGCTTTACTTATTCTATTAATTAATTGAACATTACGTAAAATATTGAAAACTTGTTACACAGTCTACTTACAAGTAAAACAGTAAAAATACAGGATTATTAAAAAGTAAACTTTTCACTAACTATGCACACATAATTATATTAACATTTTTAAAAAATGCTTATAAAAGTTTTTAAAATAAAAAATAACAGTATATTCCTCAGTTAGATCTCAACAATAATGAGACAGAAAGGAAACTTTTTAAGAACAAAATAATAATTCATAAAAGAAGTAAAACAGTACATGACATCTGTCAAAAACTTGATTATTTATCTTTTTATACCATTCTGGGACTTAAGGCTAACGCAAAATAACTTTATGAAATTCGTTTGGGCCAACGCACAATAGACTTGAAAAGATCGAAAAATATATTTATTTAAAGGCGCACTCACACCTTTTTGGCTGTCTGCCTGCAGGTTACCATGGCAACCAGAGATGGGTAAAAGTGCTTTCTAGAGGTTTTCTACGTATAATACATAAATGACGTACTCTCTAAATCTGAATTAGTAAAAATGTTTACTAATTTAAATTAGTGACTCACTTTTTGCTTTAGAATTAGTTAAATTTTACTAATTGTTAGTAAAAGTTACTAATAATTAGTAAAATTTTACTAAGGGTACGGTCACACGACTTTTGGAAAAACCATTCTTGTCTATCTCTCTCCTAAGACAGACGCATAAGTTTGTCTCACTCTGCATTTTCCGTCTTTGGGAAATGTAAGAAAATGCAGAGTAAAAAAATCTTATGCCTCTGTCTTAGGAGAGAGAAAGACAAGAATGGTTTTTCCAAAAGTCGTGTGACCGTACCTTAATTCAGAAGCCTAAGCTATGGAAGCTTCTACGCGCAACCTCGTAACGAGGCGAAACTAACTTAGGGCACACTCACACCTTTTGGCTGCCTGCCTGCCTACAGGAGTTGTCATGGCAATGTGAAGGAGTAACAGAGATAGTAAATTCAAATTTGAATTTTCTCTCTCTGTTACTCCTACACGTTGATATGACAACTCCTGCAGGCAGGCAGCCAAAAGGTGTGAGTGCGCCCTTAAGGTGATTTTATACCTCCAGTATTTTGATCAAGCAATCGGCTGGATTGAATTTTCACGGAGAATCACTGAATTTGATTGGCTCTAAAAATATTCAATTTTCACGGTGGAAATGGAATATTAAGGTGCTTATATACCTCAAATTTTGATCAGATGAACTTTATTTCTGGACCGTGAAAATGCGTGAAAATTCATTTTCACGGCGGGTATTTTTGAATTGATTTAAATAAAAAATGTTTTTTTAAGAAATATAATATTAAATAATTGTTTTAATACGTAAGAACACTTTAAAATAGTGATAGAAAGATGATTTGATTGAAAAATTTAGCAAATTTTGCTTTAAAACATTTTCTGTTACGAAAAAGTGTAAGATCACGATGTTTGTGAAATGGTTTGTACAGTGCTTCTTCGATGTGATTGTCTCGTTGTTTGTTTATGTTTTGTCGGCGTTTTTTTAGTTTGTAATAAATAATGAGTGCTCAAGATAAATCGGTAAGTTGAAATGTTTATTAAATAAATTTAAATTCAACTAATTGTTTCGAATAACTGAAAGAAACATGTACACATGTACACTGTACAAACCATTTCACAAACATCGTCATTTTACACTTTCTTGTAGCAGAAAACGTTTTAAAGCAAAATTTGCTAAATTTTTTAATCAAATCATCTCTCTATCATTATTTTAAAGTGTTCTTACATATTAAAACAATTATTTAATATTATATTTCTTAAAAAAACATTTTTTGTTTAAAACAATTCAAAAATACCCGCCGTGAAAATGACTTTTCACGCATTTTCACGGTCCAGAAATAATATTCATCTGATCGAAATTTGAGGTATATAAGCACCTTTAGTCAGAGCCAATCAAATTCAATGATACAGCCGTGAAAATTCAATCCAGCCAATTGCTTGACCAAAATACTGGAGGTATAAAAGCTCCTTTTTGCTCGTTTCATATTTATCATACAAAACATCGATGTTTCAATGTTCTTATCGTAAAGAACATACAAGTTGGTTCGATGGTTCGATAAATCCATTCAGCTTTAAATTATAAGATGAAATTTGTTATATTTAAATAATCTATATGTATAATAATTGCAATGGATTTTTTAATATTAATATAACAATAATTAATATTAAAAATATTAAAGTAAATAAATAAATATAAATTTATATACAGGGTGTTCAAAAAGTTGCAAGTTTCCATACTTTTTGAACATCCTGTATATATTTAAACAAAACCTTATATAAAAATGAATCTATATATTATATTATTTTCTATTATATAAAAACACAAGAATCCAACTCACTTTAAAATAACGATATACTCTATATTTAAAATTAAAAAATTTACTCAAATTATTCAAGGTAAGAAATATTTCATCTTATAATGATTTTTTAATGAGCAATGTGGAACCACCGAGCCGACGAACCAACTTGTGTGTTCTTTACGACAAGAACATTGAAACATCGATGTTCTGTATGTTATATATGAAACGAGCATAAGTTGGTTTCGCCTCGTTACGAGGTGGCGCGTAGAAGCTTCCGTACTAAGCAGAATAGAAACGTAACCGGAATCGTAATCATAAACGCAACCGGAAGAATAAGTTAAAGAAAAAAAAACAATCTATCTATCCTTCTCTAACTCATTCTTCCGGTTACGTTTCTATTCTGCTCAGACCTTAGCCGCATCAATGGCAACATAACCTCTTTTTGTTATTTACTTTCTGGTTTATTTTTGGAGAAAGGACTTATCTGGGATGCTGCCATTGATGGTCACGAACCGAGAAAGAGGTCTGATTCGCAGGTGTAGTACAATACGTTCCAAAAGTTTACTGTTAACTGTGTTATGTCTTGTTCACGTATACATACTGTTAAATTTTTTCTAATGGATCTGTACCAACAAAGAAGGGAAAACAGGAATCAGACCTCTCTCTCGGCTCGCGACTTTCAATGGCAGACAGCATTCCAGATATATAGAGTTCAGTGGCATGCATGCAGAAACATTTGGTCGGTCACACTTCAACGAAATCTAGTGAATGTTTAGTAACTTTCTAGTTACAACTGAAATTTTTGGAAAATTACTAGAAAGTTACTAAACATTCACTAGATTTCGTTGAAGTGTGACCGGCCAAATGTTTCTGCATGCAAGCACAGTGTATGCATGAGATAGTGTGAACGTACCCTTATGTATAATACTCATGTAGAAAACTCATGGAGCATTTACACCTTCGGTAAAAAAATTTTCTTCACTTTACATTTTCCGAAATACACATAATTGATAGGTTGTCCAGAGTCTGATTCATTGTGGACAACCAATCAGTATAAAGGTGCTTTTATACCTCTAGTATTTTGGTCAAGCAATCGATTGGATTGAATTTTCACGAAGAATCACTGAATTTTATTGGCTCTAAAGGCGCTTGTATACCTCACCGATCCCGAGTATACTTCTGTCGTGTACCATTGGAGTAAAAGAGACAAAAAGATATTTCCGTCTCTTTTACTCCAATGATACACGACGCAAGTATACTCGGGATGGGTGAGGTATACAAGCGCCTTAACAATATTCAATTTTCACGGTGAAATTGCTTGACCAAAATACTAGAGGTATAAAAGCACCTTTACACTGATCTGTTATAAAATTTTGCGAAGGTGGTTGAATTTTTAGAATTTTGAGATATCCAATCCGGCTGTTAATGCCTTGGGAGTTGATGCATGTCTGGTGCTGTAGGCCTTGAAGTCATCTTCAATTCCGGATTCTTTTAAGACAATTTTCAACCATCTGCTGATTGTATGTTTCCCGATTTTTCCATGAGGTTCTCTAAATGATATAAACAATTGACTGGAATTGCCCCTTATTTTTTCTGTTTTTTTATGTAACAAATTAAGGTCTTTGCCATGCAAAGGTTCTGATTTTCGATATAAAAAAGAAAGAAGGCGTAAGGATTTGCCAAAAAATGGCGCTATTGTATGTAACGAAGCGTTACATGGGGGAGGGGGGGTTGATATTTCCAAAAAAAGCGTTACGTATTTTGTGAACAGCCTTATTAACTCTGAGCATCCCAGTAAATGAAAACTAATTCAGTTGAATTGAAATGAATCCACCCTGAGCTTCAGTGAATCCCGCTTAGCGACAATTTCGAATTGGAGCAATGTTGCAATTCTCTTAAATGCGACAAAGCTGTATTCAACTTTCAAACTCTCTATTCGTACTAATTCAATGAACACACTTTTGAGCTTTAATTTTTTTCAATTCGTCAGTACAAATTCAATAGACGCTTTGAAATCCAGAAGGTTAAACTACAAATGGTATCAGGCCAATCAGTCCCTGAAAAATAGATTGGAATTCAAAAGACGGGACTGTGCCATAAAGAAGATTCTTCGTCAGCAAAAGACCCTGGTCTTCAGAGACTTTTGTAGAGACATTTCTCCTTCTCGAGGTACCGCCGCGCTTTGGCGTACAATTAGAGTCATCTGATCCCTCTCTGATTAAATATAAAGACGATCTTCTAAGAGAAGACTTGCCTCCGGCTGACATTCCTTTTATGCCCACTCCTCGGCACTTGGACCGAAACAATTTTGCTCCTTTTTTTCAAACGAATTTAAATCCTCTATAGCTTCCCTTAAACCTAATTCTGCTCCAGGCCTGGATGGTATTACGGGAGAAATCATCAAGGGTTTAGGCCCAACTATTTTGGCGTTCTTGCTCCTACTTTTTAACAGAATGTTCCTCCAGTCTTCATTTCCTGATTCCTGGTTAGAGACACATGTCCTGGTCATAACCAAACCTGGAGGACGGAGATTCAGACCAATAGCTCTCACCTCTGTTCTCTCGAAACTTTTCGAGAAACTTATCTAATGAAGATTGGACCATGAGGTCGAATCTCGCCGCCTCATCCTTCCAGGTACCAGTTTGGTTTCAGGGAAGAGAGGTCGTCCATGGACTGTGTGGCTACATTTGTTTCAGATATTTTGAATGGTTTCTCGGAATGGGCACATACCCTGGCCATATCCATCGACATTAAAAGTGCCTTCAACAATGTCCGTCCTTCAATCTTGAACAGAATCCTGATTGATTTGGAGTTCCTCAGGGAGGTTCCTCTCCCCCCTGCGAGCTACATCAGAGGAGATATTTTACCAGAATTCAATTTGACTCTCCAAGGCCTTGGTTTGGAGACTTCGATCAACCTAGAAGGGAAATTAGCCTAATCACTGGATTAAGAACTGCACACTTGTACTGCGGAACATTTG